ACACAACACTACATGACAAACAAACACAAACCCTACACGACCAACAAACACAAACACTACATGACCAACAAACACAAACACTACATGACAAACAAACACAAACACTACATGACAAACAAACACAAACCCTACACGACCAACAAACACAACACTACATGACAAACAAACACAAACCCTACACGACCAACAAACACAAACCATACACGACCAACAAACACCAACACTACTTGACAAACAAACACAAACACTACTTGACAAACAAACACAAACCCTACACGACCAACAAACACAAACCCTACACGACCAACAAACACAACACTACATGACAAACAAACACAAACACTACATGACAAACAAACACAAACCCTACACGACCAACAAACACAAACACTACTTGACAAACAAACACAAACCCTACACGACCAACAAACACAACACTACATGACAAACAAACACAAACCCTACACGACCAACAAACACAAACACTACATGACCAACAAACACAAACCCTACATGACCAACAAACACAAACACTACTTGACAAACAAACACAAACCCTACATGACCAACAAACACAAACACTACATGACCAACAAACACAAACCCTACACGACCAACAAACACAAACACTACATGACAAACAAACACAAACACTACATGACCAACAAACACAAACACTACATGACCAACAAACGCAAACATTACATGACAAACAAACACAAACACTACATGACAAACAAACAAAAACACTACATGACAAACAAACACAAACACTACATGACAAACAAACACAAACACTACATGACCAACAAACAAAAACACTACACGACCAACAAACACAACCCTAAATGACCAACAAACACAAACACTACATGACAAACAAACACAAACACTACATGACCAACAAACACAAACACTACTTGACAAACAAACACAAACACTACTTGACAAACAAACACAAACACTACATGACCAACAAACACAAACACTACATGACAAACAAACACAAACACTACTTGACAAACAAACACAAACACTACATGACCAACAAACACAAACACTACGACCAATGACAAACAAACACAAACACTACATGACAAACAAACACAAACACTACATGACAAACAAACACAAACACTACATGACAAACAAACACAAACACTACATGACAAACAAACACAAACACTACATGACAAACAAACACAAACACTACATGACCAACAAACACAAACACTACATGACAAACAAACACAAACACTACATGACAAACAAACACAAACACTACATGACAAACAAACACAAACACTACATGACCAACAAACACAAACACTACATGACAAACAAACACAAACACTACATGACAAACAAACAAAAACACTACATGACAAACAAACACAAACACTACATGACAAACAAACACAAACACTACATGACCAACAAACAAAAACACTACACGACCAACAAACACAAACACTACATGACCAACAAACACAAACACTACATGACAAACAAACACAAACCCTACACGACCAACAAACACAAACACTACATGACCAACAAACACAAACACTACATGACAAACAAACTCAAACACTACATGACCAACAAACATAAACACTACATGACCAACAAACACAAACACTTCACGACCAACAAACGAAAACACTACACGACCAACAAACACAAACCCTACATGACAAACAAACATAAACCCTAAATGACCAACAAACACAAACACTACATGACCAACAAACACAACCCTAGATGACAAACAAACACAAACACTACATGACAAACAAACACAAACACTACATGACCAACAAACACAAACACTACACGACCAACAAACACAAACACTACACGACCAACAAACACAAACACTACATGACAAACAAACACAAACACTACATGACAAACACTACACGACCAACAAACACAAACACTACATGACCAACAAACACAAACACTACATGACCAACAAACACAAACACTACATGACCAACAAACACAAACACTACATGACAAACAAACACAAACACTACATGACAAACAAACACAAACACTACATGACAAACACTACACGACAAACAAACACAAACACTACACGACCAACAAACACAAACACTTCATGACCAACAAACACAAACACTACATGACAAACAAACACAAACACTACATGACCAACAAACACAAACACTACATGACCAACAAACACAAACACTACATGACAAACAAACACAAACACTACATGACCAACAAACACAAACACTATAACAATGACAAACACTAAAACAACAAACACAAACACGACCAACAAACACAAACACTACATGACAAACAAACACAAACACTACAAGACCAACAAACACAAACACTACATGACAAACAAACACAAACACTACATGACAAACAAACACAAACACTACATGACAAACAAACACAAACACTACATGACAAACAAACAAACACAAACACTACATGACCAACAAACACAAACACTACATGACAAACAAACACAAACACTACATGACAAACAAACACAAACACTACATGACAAACAAACACAAACACTACATGACAAACAAACACAAACACTACATGACACAAAACAAACACAAACACTACATGACAAACAAACACAAACACTACATGACAAACAAACACAAACACTACATGACAAACAAACACAAACACTACATGACAAACAAACACAAAACACTACATGACCAACAAACACAAACACTACACGACCAACAAACACAAACACTACATGACCAACAAACACAAACACTACGACCAAACACAAACTACATGACAAACAAACAAACACGACCAACAAACACAAACACTACACGACCAACAAACACAAACACTACATGACAAACAAACATAAACACTACATGACCAACAAACACAAACACTACATGACCAACAAACACAAACACTACATGACAAACAAACACAAACACTACATGACAAACAAACACAAACACTACATGACCAACAAACACAAACACTACACGACCAACAAACACAAACACTACACGACAACAAAACAAACACTACACGACCAACAAACACAAACACTACATGACAAACAAACACAAACACTACATGACCAACAAACACAAACACTACGACCAACAAACACAAACACTACATGACCAACAAACACAAACACTACATGACCAACAAACACAAACACTACATGACCAACAAACACAAACACTACATGACAAACAAACAAACACTACGCTGACAAACAAACACACAAACAAACACAAAAACACTGACAACAACAACAAACACAAACACTACATGACCAAACAAACACAAACACTACGACAAACAAACACAAACACTACATGACAAACAAACACAAACACTACATGACAAACAAACACAAACACTACATGACAAACAAACACAAACACTACACGACCAACAAACACAAACACTACATGACAAACAAACACAAACACTACATGACAAACAAACACAAACACTACATGACAAACAAACACAAACACTACATGACAAACAAACACAAACACTACTGACAACATGACAAACACTAACAAACAAACACAAACACTACATGACAAACAAACACAAACACTACATGACAAACAAACACAAACACTACTGACAAACAAACACAAACATGACAAACAAACTACAAACACTACATGACAACAAAACAAACACAAACACTGACAAACAAACACAAACACTACAACAACAAACACAAACACTACATGACCAACAAACACAAACACTACATGACAACAAACAACAAACACAAACACTACACATGACCAACAAACACAAACACTACATGACAAACAAAACAAAACTACATGACCAACAAACACAAACACTACATACGACCAACAACAAACACACAAACACTACTACACGACCAACAAACAAACACAAACACTACATGACCAACAAACACAAACCCTACATAAACCCTAAATGACCAACAAACACAAACACTACTTGACAAACAAACACAACCCTAGATGACAAACAAACACAAACACTACATGACCAACAAACACAAACCCTAAATGACAAACAAACACAAACACTACTTGACCAACAAACACAACCCTAGATGACAAACAAACACAAACACTACATGACCAACAAACACAAACCCTAAATGACAAACAAACACAAACACTACATGACAAACAAAAACAAACACTACATGACAAACAGACACAAACACTACATGACCAACAAACACAAACACTACATGACCAACAAACACAAACAATACATGACCAACAAACACAAACACTACATGACCAACAAACACAAACACTACATGACAAACAAACACAAACGCTACACGACCAACAAACACAAACACTACATGACAAACAAACACAAACACTACATGACAAACAAAAACAAACACTACACGACCAACAAACACAAACACTACATGACCAACAAACATGAACTCTATATGACACTCACTCGTTTAACACACTCACTTCAATCACAGAGTGACATTTATTATGCTAAAGAGATAAAAACATATAGCAAGAGTGTTTTACATTTCACGTGCTTTCTTGGTGTGAAAATGAAACCTATTATTGGGGATAAATGACTGTTCCAGTGCATCTGTATGATGTTTCTATGTGACTGTTTTATATCTACATTAGATTTATAAACTCCAAAGACCCGTGAAGATCCGGGGTAGAATAGGTCTTCAGCAACCCATGTGCTTGCCATAAAAAGGCGACCATCTTGTCGTAAGAGGCGACTAACGGGATCGGGTGGTCAGTTTCGCTGACTTGGTTGACACATGTCATCTGTTCCCAATTGCGCAGATCGATGCTCATGCTGTTGATCACTGGATTGTCTGGTCCAGACTCGATTATTTACAGACCGCCGCCATATAGCTGGAATATTGCTGAGTGCGGCGTAAAACTAAACTCACTCACTCACTCATAAACTCCAAATGATTTGTTCTTCTCCAGAAGGTGATAGATGTCCTCAAGGCCGACGTGGAGAACGCCGAGTGGGCTTCACTGACGGAAATGACCTCATCTGGGGAGCTCGTGCACGTCAAGCAGCTGCTGATAGAATACCATGGGGATTGCCGTAATAGACATCAATGCATAAACAACTTAAAGATCTTGAAAGACGTCCATGACATTGGGTTCAGAAAGTTTTATGTCCACAAAAACATTCATTGTTCGTTTAGATCTGCTCTGTTCCCTGTGATTAGGACAAGTTGCTATGAAGTTCATTATGTCAACATGAACGCAGTACATTCGTAGAACTTTTATCTCGACTGATCATCAAGCTAAATACAGGTAAAAAAAATTCGGTAAAATTTATCGTCGCATCGGCATTGTTTCAGTAATATAGCGACGAGAACAGGTTTACACATATACACAAATCCATAGTTTCGCAAAGTTACACTCAAAAGCAAGTTTTGAAATATATATTTGTACATCACAATATTGTCTATTTACACTTGAGAACACGGGCTGGTATGATGAGACTATTATTTCACTATCAGTAGTATAATCTAAGAATATTTTTTCATGTGTGCGTGTTACCATTAAATAACAATTTATAGCCGATCGGTAGTCTGTACTTGTATATTTTTGTTAGCGATGATTTATAAGTCTTAAGTTTCCTGTCAAAAAACTTGCAATACGCTTCACTAGAAGAAGTTGACGTACCATGACGTACCATGGTAGATGAGATGCACACTACTGACTAAAGGAAACCCGTGACGCAACCCATGTGATTTTCGTTGGTCACTCATGTAGACTGAGTGAGTTTAGTTTTACGCCGCCCTCAGCAATATTCGGGATATATGGCAGCTGTCTGTAAATAATCGAATCTGGATCAGACAATCCAGTGATCAACAGCATGGACATCGATGTACGTAACTGGGATTTGGTGACATGTGTCAACCAAGTCAGCGAATCTGACCTCCCGATCCCCAGTCTCTTACAACAAGTATGGGTTACTGAAGATCAACTCTAACCCGGTCTTCACGGGTCACTCTCGTGGTACCCCTGATACAGGCATTTCGGAGGGAACAAAAGTTGGGCTGAAGGAGGAGCCATGTTAACCTGAAATTGGACGTCGTAACAGACAGATCAATTTCAAATTATCTGATGAATTTTTAAAACACATTATGAAACGTACTTTCTGAAGTCTTTTTAGATGTGATTTTGAGGGAAATAAGAGTGATGTGATCAATCGCATCCATCTTATATATATGACCATTGGTTCCTTCGTGTCTTGAGATGGCGTTCTTGTCATTGAAAAGTCTGTTTATAAATTCACATTAAACAACTGAGGCACGACTTCCAGTGACTACATTTACGAGGTTCGACGCTGCATTGCTTTCATTGGATCTTATTACTTTATGATGGCTTCAGTCTCTTTGTGTCAGCTCCATGGATTAATTATGAGAATCGGTGTCATTAGGGGGATACACATAAGGGAGAGGGTTTAAATAACTGCCCGTGCCACAGGTAGAAACCATTACACGTGAGCGCGGTGTCGTGTGGAAGATGACTGGCATAATGGCCGCCAAGAGAGGTAAAAGTTTAATAGGGGGAAGTAGTGTTGTTTTCGCAGGTCTGTTGATTAAACGGCCAGCACTATATCAATATATCGCATATGAACTTACTTTCATAGCTACGAATGGTGTGTTTTAGAGTATTAGTCAATTTTGTTATGCTAACAAGGAAAAAAACGTAATTCATGGTGAGAGGTAAATATTCAACATCCAATATAAAAGGGGCGGTGGGGAAGCCTAGTGGTTAAAGCGTTGGCTCGTCACGCCGAAGACCCGGGTTCGAATGCCCACATGGGTACAATGTGTGACGCCCATTTCTGGTGTCCCTAGCCATGATGTTGCTGGAATATTGCTAAAAGCGGCGTAAAACAAAACTCAGTCAGTCAGTCAGTCCAATATACAACGTTGTAAGTGAGGTTGTATAAAGAGATTACAAAAGGAGTGGATGTTGAATATGGAACATTTTCAACGAGATATATTAAACGTTTTGATTTATATACTAGGCACATAAAGAAACTGTGCATACAAAAATTGAAAATCTAAATTTATCAAACCTGTGTAGACACATAAGGATTTAAACTCAGAGATTACTGACATGTATCCAACATGCATGCACGTGCCACGTTCCGTGACGGCAGTGGGTTCGTCCTTGAGACGTGCAATACGTTATTGCAAGTGCATTCCGGGAAAGAGAAACAGAGCAAATGAATGCCAGACAATACTGTCACTTTGGAAAGCTCAACCCCTGCCCTTGCGATCGTTCAAAAAATTAAACGGCTATTGAAACGCATAGCATGCCAAGGCTCACGTCTGCACAACATCATGAGACCATTGGGATGGTCCGTGGGGGAATGTCTCAACGACAAGTGGCTGCACATTTCCACTGCCACCGGAACACAATTTCTGCTCTGCTGAGACGCTACCAGAACACAAATGACGTCATCGATCGGCCACGTTCTGGACGTCCACGTGTAACAACGCCAAGACAGGACAGATGGATAAGGGTGACCCATTACTCAGACTGCAGTGATGACTGCCCGAACAATCCCAGGACTTCGCCGTATCCACCCCAACACAGTTAGCCGCGTTTACGTCATCACGGGATCAGACCACGACGTCCCGCCATACGGCCTATCCTGACACAACGTCATCGACAAGCTCGACGAATGTGGTGCCGAAATCATGTCCGCAGACCCTTGCTTTGGTGGAGAAATGTTCTTTTTACAGATGAGTCTAGGTTTAACATTTCCCATAGTGATGGACGTCAACGTGCCTACTGACGCGTGGGAGAACGTTTTGCACAGGCCTGTGTCTTGGAGAGGAATCGCTTTGGTGGTGGTTCCGTAATGATTTGGGGTGAAATAACAGCACGCCAAAGAACCCCTTTGGTGATTGTTCAGGGCAACTTAACTGGTGTGGGCCACAGATTCTTCACATCCTTATCTGCAACGTCATGGCCCTGGGTTAACATTCCAACAGGACAATGCCCGCCCTCATGTGGCAAGGATTGCTATGGATTTCTTGCAACACCACAACGTTGACTTACTGCCTTGGCCTGCAAATTCACCGGATCTCTCCCCGATAGAGCATGTTTGGGACGAGATGGATCGACGTCTACGCCGTCTTCCTCATTCGCCAGATGACGTCCTTGACCTTGCAACAGAACTTGAGAGAATCTGGCGTGACATCCCACAAGCCTTCCTTGCACGTTTGATAGGCTCTATGCGTCGTCGCTGTTCTCAATGCCGATGGTGGACATACCCGTTATTGAGCTTGTGACATGGTCGTTTGACCCCTGTCCCGCTTGTGGACTCGTGACGTCATAGTGATTGACTTTTCAATTGAAATTCTCCCGACTTGTTATGGTCTTATGATCCCTCCATTAAAGTTTATATGTACCTTTGGCATTGTTATCGTACTTATCAACTGGGATAATATTTTGACAATGCACAGTTTCTTTATGTGGCTAGTATATATCAAAGGACGGGAAAATAGTGTATTCAAAGAACCGGACATCAAGCAGACGATGCCGGATGTAAACAAAACGAAAGGGAGATACGACTACATTAAAGATGTAAAAATAAAATAAATATATTCAATTGAAAAGTGATACTAATCCCGAGGACACCGAAATTGAATTTTAACTATCCTATATTTTAACTATGTTTTGTTTGGTTGACATTTTTTATCAAATACTGCCTGAATGGAGTAATATTGTTAATTAAAAAAAATATCGAAGTGCCAACAGAAAGGTCACTTGCACTCGAGTAGCTCGGCATTATGACGTCACTACCGTTGAGTAACCTAGTTTGGTTACACAACACTCGGTGGATAACTTTCAACTGGTTACACAAAACCTGTTTTAAATAACCAAAGTTATGTCATAAATATATAATTCTAATCGCTTTAATATACACGTCTGAACCTTATGCCTCATGTGCCCATCAGAACCAGCATGAAAACTGATTTAATAAACAGAACAAGCTTGCCCTTACATAACAAATTTCTGAATATGACTGGATATGTAAATGTTAGGATTCTTATATTGTTCGATGTTATAGATCTCACACCACCATGTGTGTATTTTCATGGAAAATACATATCAACGAAGTTATTAGGAAAGTAAGTCGAGTGATCAACTGCTTTAGGAGCTTCAAGCACAGACTGACCAGAAAAAGCTTGATACTATGTATGTGTCCAGCCTAACTTCGACCACTGTTGTTATGTCTGGGACAACTGTACAAACGAACGATCATTACTACTCGAGAATGTGCATTTGGACTCCCTGAGAACTATTGGTTGGGCATTTCGTGGTACTAGTCATGCCAAAATATATAACGAACAAATTCTCAACCTCTAAAAGACCGAAATAGATCCAACTAACAGACAATCAAATGAAGAACCCAGTCTTATGCCCGATCATTCCTTCCGGACACGATTAACTTGAGGAATAATCTACCTGATGAAGTAACTAATACACGCTCATTAAAGAATTTTTATGATTAATCAATCGTTCTGATAGAATTACGAATTACTTGGACTTGAATTATGGTTTTAGATTCTGCCAAATTGTCCACTGTCGCCTCAGTGAGTGAGTGAGTTTAGTTTTACGCCGCACTCAGCAATATTCCAGCTATATGGCGGCGGTCTGTAAATAATCGAGTCTGGACCAGACAATCCAGTGATCAACAGCATGAGCATCGATCTGCGCAATTGAGAACCGATGACATGTGTCAACCAAGTCAGCGAAACTGACCACCCGATCCCGTTAGTCGCCTCTTACGACAAGATAGTCGCCTTTTTATGGCAAGCACATGGGTTGCTGAAGACCTACTCTACCCCGGATCTTCACGGGTCCTGTCGCCTCAGACTGGGCTGCAGCGACTTAAACGCTGATAAATGTAGGCGCCATGTATCAGAAACCCCAGACTACACATGTGGGTATCAATTTGAAGATACAACTTACTTTTTCTTTACTTGCCACAAATACGATAATATCAAAAAGACTGTGTACGTTTACATACATGGGTATGATTTAACTTGACACCAATACATTATGACCATAGTTCAGTCAGCAGTTCCACAAACATGGAAATCCTACAATTATTTATTTATTATTATAGTATATTTATACAGCGCACATATCCACGAAACTGGTGCTTGCTCAAGGCGCTAATATTTGTTTCCCTCGATCATTGGATGTCAATCTCAATGGAACATCGTATTATCAATCTCAACTCCCTGGGGAGTATACAACTCTTGCTGCCACAAGGCGCACCGAGTTATTGTGGCTTTCTCATCCTAACGAGGTACCCATTCACAGTTGGGTGGACTGGGACACATAGTCACAATACTTTGTCCAAGTTTACTGCACGTTGCTGTACCCGCAAATACGTGCAAATACGTGTTTGCACGTATTCATGGGGGCGGTGAGGTAGTCCCGTGGTTAAAGCGTTCGCTCGTCATGCCGAAGAGCCGGGTTCGATTCCCCACATGGTTACTATTTGTGAAGCCCATTTCTGGTGTCCCCCGCCGTATAATT